GAATGGACAAAACCGTACTGGGTACGAAGAAGGGTTGCAAAACAACTCATGAAATGGGGCCTGACGGAAACTGAGCTAGGACTTGGCAAAATATGAGGGATTCTTGGCTATACAAAAAGGACACAGAACGACGAAGATTGGGCATAATGAAGCATCCTTGTCTTAGAACATTGAAAACATCGAAAGCGACAATTCTTAGAAAAAATGCGAGTAGCCTCAATAAGCAGGAGAGGGATCAGGGATAGCAGTAGCTGTAGACCACGATATTTGAGAAGCAACCCCATTCTGGCAGCAGGATGTTTGATAGGGAAAACTATGATCCCTTCTCCACAAATGGATCCCCTCACTAAAATCTTAAAATAAAACCGGTTCTCTGACTCGGCCAGGTGCTAATTATTGATTATTTATTAATTTTGCGTTTATGGAGATTACTCGGTGAAACTCCAGTTCGGGGGGCACTCCATTGCTATCTTATCCGTAGTACTAGAGAGCAGTTCTTTGGGCTATCGAAACACTACGGATAAGATAATAAGTGAACGACTCATTTCGAGCGTACTTTTGATAAGGACCGGTGGATGTCCTACATTCCACACTACCTGCCCACATCCCATCCACTTTTCTGCACAGGTGATCCACCCTGGAGCTCCTGCACCCTTAGCCCTTTGCGGAGGTGTCCTTTCTCCTGGTCCAGGACCGTTCCCTTGGGTCATGGCAGGCGGAAATGTGAAAACGTTTCAGGGTTTCTCACCCATTACACCAATATTTATCAGAAGTCTACTTTAAATGAGTCGATTACGTGTCGTGAGCCATCTAATCCTTATTTTGAGTATTGGGGAAAAATGGAGTGCCCCCCCCCCCGAACTGGAGTTTCACCGTAGAGACTAACATACAGACTGTGTCGTGTTTCAAACTAAGATAGTGTCTCAACTTGAGGAGCAATCGATCGACTTGTCGGTTTTGCTGGGTGCCATTCTCACTAGATATTCGATCCAAATCCCGGGCTGGGATCCCACTGTATTCCCACGAACCCCACCAGAGTTCAAGACTGAATAAGTCCTGCGGCCAACCTAGTATAGGAACGAATTCAGCAAATGGAACGTGTTAATCATCCCTGCCGAGACACGCCATGTACTCTGGTTTCCCTCAAAATCGTGTAGGCACTTTGATGAATGTAGTACATTTGTACACGCTGAAGCCGAAGATCAGCTGATTTCCAAGAGAGTATTTCAAACCTTCCCTCGCAAAAGGATGTTGGGCTTCCTTCAGGCCATTTCCGGCTTACCATTGGCGACATTCTTTCAATCGCCGGGCACCCAAAACGTACTTCCAAAGGGCAGTTAAAGCATGTTGAGTTAATCATGGATCTGTCTGGATACCATCTGGTACCCAGGATACTCCGTTCTATCAATCGAGCCATGAACTCAGGAGCAATTTTCAGACCACTTCCCTATAGAGGACAGCTGTTTTGGTAGCCTTTGAGAAACCGCATGTCTAATACCCAGCTAAGCAAGATAATCCCAACTAAAAGACGACGAAGAACTCGCAATCGAAACCACCCAAAAAGGAGGTGCTCAATTCAGCGCCAGCAATCCATTCAGGTCAAGGCTCAAAAAGATGGCGGCGATCGACGGCAGTTGCATTGAGCATTGCCATTTCTCGTCTTATTAAGCAATTTTGCTGAGTTTCCTCAAAAAATTAGTAAATGATAAATAAAAATAAATATATACTTCATAAATACTAATAAATAAACAGTTTTTTCTCTAGGGCTAAACCATGGGAGAACATACGGTAGGAAGTACGAAAAGAAAATAAATACGGTACTTTTCTTCGTTCGTCTATTTGGCGCTATTGCCCTATAAATGTCATTCAACATTCGAGGTGAATTGGCTAGCAACCGGAGCAAATGGCTGTTAACCTTGCTTGCGATCTTACACCGCGAACGTTAACTTTTTTAGGTTGTATGGTGTTTTACATAGTAACCTACGGCTTAACCAGCTGGACAGATCTTACCGGGACCAGCTTATCCCATAGAAAAAGGAACAAGGAAACGAAAACACTTAAAGGTAAAACTCACTGATTACTGAACAGCACAGTTCTAGACATTGCTTCAGATCGGTGGTTTCCTGTGAAGAAATCGCCACCGAATTGAGCCCGAAGCGTTGTTGCTCGAAAATCGTCAATGTCCCACAGAACACATCAGTACTCAGTACTGCCGGAACGGCTAGCAGTACTGTCAACAGTAAATTAAGTACGAATACGGTAGTCATGATAGCTGCATAGGAACCAGCCGTGGGCAGCGATGATCAATGCGTCGCTGAGGCGATAGTGGAGGCGGCGATTGCTGCAGGGTGGTTACACACATACACTCATCTCGGCCCCGCCCCTCTTTACCCGATGACGCCAAAAATGCTCCGACTTCAAACGTATTTATTCACCCGGACATTGAACACACACACGAATTGGAGAGACTGTAGACAGTCAAAGAGAATTTCGATGAAGTGAGTAAAGGTGAAGGAGATGAGTCATGAAAAAGGGGTAGAATATGGGCGATATAGGCAGGATGGGAGCAGTACTGCACGCAGGTGGCAGGAACTGCTGAACGGACGGTAATGGAATCGTTGGCGACTTATGATGCTGTTGGTGCTGTTGCTGTTGTGACGTTGACATCGACACTTTGAAGTATTTAGAACGCCGACCAAATCGTGAATCTGAAACACGCAAAATTACGGACTTGAAAGAGGTGATTACCGTAAGGTCAGGTGGTCGATTACGGTCTCTGGACTGCGCGCACATGCGTTCTCACGGTAATGAGCACAATACGGACGTCATCCGGCCGGTAGCAGGTGCAAACGGATCGTAAGCACCGTGTTTGTTCACCAGTTACCCAACCGAAAAGCAGCATCAGTCTGGGGTCACTGACAAAGCAACCTTTTGTAACTTTTGTTTCTTCGGTTCTCGAGTTAGCTCTCGGGTTGGCCTCACCTCGGCGCCGCACGTTCGCCATGTTGACCAAATGGACTTATTTTCCTTGACCGTGTAATCCTTAATGTCATTGTGAATGGCAATGAGCGACGACTAGTCATAACTTTGAGTTATCTACCCATAACTGCCGCCCCACCGCGCAAAATTCACACCAGACGAACCCAGCGTTGATACCTGTAAATTTTGAGCAAACATGGGGCAATAGTTAGTGGAGCCGCGCCAATGAAACAATGAGAGGATGCGAGCCATTTTCGGCCAAACTAATGTTCACCTTCCTCCAATAATCCGATATAAGGCTACCGTTGGAGTTCACATGCAATGATTTGAATTATGGACCGGTTCAGCAAGTTGCTGCATGGGTCAACTACACACTTAATCGCGTCAAAATTTCGAAACAAAGTCGAGTCCGTGGCGTGTTTCTAAAGGCACTTACCACTTCCTCTATGTATACTATTGTAATTATATTGAATGGTCGATTACGGTCGAATAACTACTTGAAGGATTCTGTTTGTTGGACAGTCACGTTGATTCCTCATTCACTTCCATGGCAACAGTGAATCCTCAATCCAATCGTTCACAAACAGTGGGTGCATGGGGCAGTGGCAAGTGGCGCAGATACATACGCATGGTACGGGGATCAATTCCTCCAATGAATGCCCACCCATGCCGTGTGCCTATGTTTCTTAATAGATAAGGAAACGAAGAGGGATACTCAGAGATCGACCTATGAAGCCATATTCACATGACATCTGATCTGCCGTGTACCTGCAAGTTATTGGGGTGCAAAGAGCTACTCAAATGCTACTATGACCCCGTATACTAGTAACATGCACGGCGCATCCCAGAAGTATGTTGAACATCAAATGCTATCCTCAGTTTATCTTGTATGCTTCACTGCTAAAGTCTATGCTTTCAACTGCTACTACGGTTAAGAAATCTGTCCGGGGGTCGCAGGCGTGGAGCAACTCGGAAAGGGACCACAAGCCTATAGTTAAGATCTTTCAGTAACACTCTTCGGACGCAATCAACCTTGAACTCTCAGTCTCAACTCGAATTCGTTCTCCTGCGAACTTGAATCTCAATCAACGAACGGGTATGATGGCACACCATCATTCCCTTCAAGCCCCAGCCTTCAGGGAAACACCTGCTACCTACAGACTCCATCAACTCCTTTTTTGGAGAATAGTCATAAAGAACAAGTTCATCATCGGATTGGCAGTCCGGTTTGTTTCAACCAGTTCAAGCTGCGGAATTTCTTAATTCTAATGCGTAAGGGCTTTAAGTTGTCAAAAACAGTCACATACTTAGCGGTGACATTCCGACGCTAACGCATCTTCGATACCGGCAAGCTTTGCATGACGTCCGATTCGATCCCTGAAATGAAAAGAAGGTAACGTGTTAACAGTCTTCTTCGCTCAACGTGCTCGTAGTAATGGTCACAGGATTTCGCGTCAGGCTATCGCTCGGTATTTGCACAACTCCGACAGGAGATGGACAAAATCCTTACGAGTTCTTCTGATTTTTTCAACAGAATTACCCCGTGGAAGGGCTTTTTTGTACAACAGGTGCGCCATTGAACCAAAATGAAAATGAAGGAACTATTGCGTAAATAACGGATGAAGAGTTTCAAGAGGATTCAACATTTATCCCCGGTCGAAACCTGCTTTACACAGCCCCAGATTCCACTCCTAGACTCCAGCTGTGATTGCTTCGCCTTCCTCAATGCTCAGACTCGGCTACTCACTGGAACAAATCTCCACAAATGGCAGTGCGTGGGGTCTATCAA